TAGCGTGGCACTTGTTACTACTAGCTTCTTGTTACTACTAGTAAGGCACCTGTTACTACTAGTAAGCCACCTTTTGGTGACAGCTTCTCTCACTCTGAGTTGTCCAACCCTCGCCCGCGACCGGCGGGTTTAGCTGATTATTTTTTCCCCATCCAAAGACGATGGGTGCCTCATACGCACAGCTGAGATGGACGGCCAATACACCACTTGAGATCATTTGAGGGCCGGACTGGGATTTCTGGATGCGGCTGGCTACTCTACAACCTGTGGACATCTCCAGACATCTCAAGACTAGCAGGACTCCCACGACCCGATTCCGAGCCGCAGGGGGGGAACGATCGATGAAAGCGCCATCATGTGCTGTTGTTCTCATCGCCGAGCTTTCTTCAGGTACGCGGCCTCTGCATTGTGATGCATCGTGGCTGCTCTTGGCGCTCAATGATTCGTGAGCTGGACACTTGAGGCTGTCCTGCTATGGTGGGAGGGCGCAACAGAGTACTTGGTGCAGTCTGGAGAAAGCACCACGGTGAACGATGAGAACACAGTCGTGTCATTCTCTCAGCTCTTGCTCATCGGGGAGATTCATATTTAGCACATTCATTGCTTCATTTTCCATCCGTGATCCAACATGCCTAAGCTTGTTTTGTTGACCCCCATCCAGGCAAATTCTCCAGAACCCATGCGTCATACAGCCCAAAAACACCTCCCCCTTTTGGAACCACCATCCCGACCCATGAGGTGCTTGATCCGATCCTCCCACGAAGAAGTGGAGGTCCGGAAGTCCTGAATGCCGGTGGGGCGACCTGGGATGACCTGGGACGACAGGTCCCAACTGGCAGGGCAGCAGACTGCAATGAAAGCCATAGACCACCACCACCCACGTGTACCAATACGGGTTTATGGGACTTATATCATATACATTCATAAACCAATGGGATTGATAAGCAGACTGCAATGATGTATAAGTCCCATAGACCACCACCATTGATTTAGCCTATGCCTGTCTCTGGGAGGCCAACACGTTTCAGCATGGCAGCGTTGCTTAGGATGCTTAGGATGCCTACGTATCTCGTTCGTGTGGACAGAAACTCCGCAGCTGTCCTGGCTCAAACGTATTGGGCTAGAGAGTTGATTCTAAACGCAGTTGCATCCTCACAAGCCACAAAGATTGACACGTTCAGCAGCAAGATAAGAAGTGCCTCTCACTAATGACTCAAACTGCGACCTGTAACTGTAATGAAGCATGCAGAACACGGGCAACCACTCTGGGTGATGCGCCCTTGTCTTCTTTTTGCTTTACTGACTTCAACTGCAATCCATTGTTCTTCATGGCCATGGATGCCGTGGGTGTCATCGCCATCCGGATGGGAGTTAGACAATTTGTATGACCTGCACTCGTCTCGGAACAGGAAATTCCCGGATCTGGGTGGCACCAACCCAACATCTGAAAGACTCTCCATGACTCTAGCATTAGCATCTGGGTGCTTTGCCATGAATCAACCCAGGATGGGACTCTACGGATCGCGAACCCCTTTTCCACCCTCCGACCTGAACCGGGGCGACGCCTGCGTCCCCCGCGCCCCGCGGCGCGGCCGCTTGCGCCAGCCCTGCGCCGCGGCGCTCGCCATGGCGTCGGAGGCGCTGAGGAAGGCCGGGCAGGTGCAACATCTGGCGGCCATGCAGGCGTGCAGAGAGGGTGACCGGGGTGGAGGCTTTGAGACTGTTGTAGGGCGGAGGTCTGAGTTGGACCTCTAAGAATGATTGACCTTTTAGATCCTTGCATCAACCGAAAACCTAGCTTATATGGCTGTTTACCTTCAACCATATGGGCGATGTTCCGCAGTTTTTCTGGGCGATGTCTTGGAATTTCTCCCTCCGGACATCAACAGGACCAGTTGACCAGTCTTCTTGGACTCCTGGAGTGAGCTTGTGCTCTGCCCGGATGTGCGACAGGATGCCTTGAAGCAGTTCGACCTCCCTCGGATTCGCGCGCGAAGGTGGGAGCCTGGCATGCCGGTGGAAGAGGCGGGCTGTCCAAGGGGGTAGAGCCAGACCGAGTGGTGTTGACTGATAGAGGCTTTTGGTATATGATATTCTTTTGGGATGCTTTGCTTTTCCACGAACTTGATGACTTAATGATCATTGGTGGTCATTTGGGCCATGCCCAACAGACAGGAATGGCCTTGAACATGGCACCGTTTGATGGTGTTTTCCCTGATGGTTTCCGAACCTTCCGTCCGCACCCTCTCGGTCTGTTGGGGCTAGCGGATCAGCCGGTGCCAGGGCTGGAAGCTCATCCATTGGATTCGCCATGGCCAGGCCGGGGGCTTTGGGTTTCACCTCGCCCACGACCCACGACCCACGACCCCCTCTCTGACCCACGAAAACCCGCGAAAAGGGTCGGGTCTCGATGAAAGAAAAAAGGAGGAGGAGTGGGATTGCGTTCCATTTCCATTTCCTTCAGTAGAGGTTAGTTACATCAGGTGTACGGTATATTACGGTATATACCTATTACATCGATCCTTTCAGTTATGGTGGTGTTGTTTCAGGCTTATGTAATATTGAGCTGAATGCATGAAAAAGTAGGGCGTTAAACTTAGAGAAGACCGAAAAGGAGGTTCTACGAAACAATGATAATTTTGTGTTCCTATATAGTAATTACTGCATAGGCTTTATATTCAATGGCGAGTTAGTAGAATGGCCCGATCCATTGCCTCCTACTACTACCCAAAATGTGTAGCATGCTATGACACATCAGACGGAATCCACGAAGCACTTTGCCCAAAGCTGTCACAGGTTTCGAATGAGTCTGGCCAAAAACCAGGAACGCAGGTTTTGGCCAGTCTTCCATGCCACGTTTGCTGGACATACCTCCAATTCGTGTAGGTCGATGGGTCACAGGATGTGCTGCAGGGTTCTTCCAGATTTTTGCCTCCTTCCTCCTCCTGCTCCTCCTCCTCCTCCTCTGGGTTCAATTCGGGTGTGTTTGGGGTCCAAGCGAACCGGAACTACGTCGGGGTCCACCGGATGCATGGCACCACCGGGCCACAGCCTTGGCAGGGCTACCACAACTTGTTGGCGGAGGCCATGCGCTCGGTCGGCTGTGCTTTCTCCGAGCTGGGCGACTACGAGGAGGCCACCGGGGGCGCCATCGATGGATCTGTGCGTTTCTGCGCTTCTGCAGCTGGGGTGCTTAGGGTTGATGGGATGGTTGTGGAAGACTCGCTTTGGTGGCTTTGGTGGCCAATTGAGCCTTTGATCTCCATAGCACTGGAATGGCATGGTTTTTTTTGTTCTGCTATGACGTTTCTTGATCAGACTCTGTCCCGGTTGGGATACCCCTTTCAACAACGCCTTGAGGCTCGAGATGTTGCATAGGCAAGAAGCATCCGATTCCCAGCAACACTGATCATGGAATCATGGGAGGTCTCATTCAAAGGCCTTCGTCTTTGAAGTGAATCAACCAGGTTGTTCAGGAAAAGAGAGGGGAAGCTATCCAGATCGCAGTAATTTGGACTCTTGATGACTGCGCCCCCCAATTGAATATTTTGAATTGAAACACCTCTCCATGTGGGGGTTATTGATCAAGAGTCTACATTATCCAGATGAACATGGGTCCATGATCAATGATCCAGTCATCCTGCTTTCCACCGAACGACTGGTCGTGGCAGTGACCAAAGGCGAAGAAGGCGGCCTTCCATCCATACGTCAACGCTGCTGGGCTTATTTTTGTTGTGTTGTTTTTATCATTACTTTGGGTGTGTAGCTTATGGGTTGGTGGAACATAGAACTTTTAAGGCAGTGATTTGTTTGTAGAACAGGTTGCTTGTTCCAGTATCGGCTTGCCTTGGCCAGTATGGAGTTGCTTCAGATTGTTCAAGAGCAGACCCGAAACAAGGCCCGGTTCGTCGCGGAGCAATGCCACTTCAACCGTTTCCCTGTGGCAGGAGTTTCAATCAACGTTTTTCTTGGACATCGCGGATTCTGCGACTACAGACCTACCGACCCTACCCAAAGCAGTGAGGCTTCTGACGCATGTTTTCCACATCTGAGGATGCGATCGTGGACCCACCCCTGACTTGCTTAGGCATCCAAGATGCCAAGGCCAGGAATCCGAAGACCTGTGGGGTCACTGTGAGTGCGTTCCAGCAATTTCCTTGCACCTCTCGCTGGTCCGCTGTCCGTCCGCTGGTCCGCTGGTCCGCGGTGGTTGTGGACACCGTCCGTCCGCCCCCGTGGAGGACCTTTGGCCCAAAGCCAAGACTTTGAAGCCCGAGCTGCTGGTGGTGTCGCCCCTGAAGCGGGCGTCGCTTGGGCTCGGAGTTCGCTGCGCTGAGTAGAGGTTGAGTAGGCCGGATGGATCGAAGAAACGGGTCTGGTGACTTGAGTTCGAGCTCTTTCCAATTTCCAATTGCACACACTGGGAAGACATCACCATGATTCCAACATCCTTGATACCCCCCCTCTTGCTTCATTGAGAAAACCATCCGATTTCACCGATGGATCACCGCACTCAAACCCCGCCCGACCTCCTTCTTCTCGGTCCGCGCATGATCGTCTCGAGCTCCTCGGTCGGGTCGGGTACCGTACCGAGGAGCGAGACGATCATGATTGGCTTCAAGGAGGCGATCCAGCAGGGTGTGCCACTGATGGCCCATGACGCTTGCACCTCGCTCGCTCGGTTGGAGAAAACACCGGGACACGCCGGTTTACCTCTTACGTGTTCCTTTTCGGTTCGTTCCTTTCGAAGGTGGACGATTGATCCGGAGGTTTTTTTTGGGGGGTCGTTTCGGAGAAGCCCAAGTGGTGTAGACTAGACCGGTTTGGTGTTCAACGGCACCAAGAGGTGAAAGTCTGGGAAGGACTGTGGTTAAATGGATTATCAGGCATTTTAAGGTCTTAAAATATGTGTAATGGTTTGTTGGTTTCTTTTTGCCATTTGTTTATTCAATGACTCTGTTATTTGCAGTATAGTTTGAAGCTGAGTTTTCCTTCACAGCTTATGTGTGCTCGTTCGCTCTATTCTTTTTGGCACATGCCTGGAAAACATGGTGTTTGCTTGTTGCCCCAAGAAGAACTCCAAGACATTTGATAACATGCATATTCTCTTCAACTTGAAAGGACTTGCAGGGGAGTCAGTTGTGTAGTATCCTCCCCCAAGAGGATTGATACTCCATGAACCACGTGCTTTCCCTTCCCTTAAGCCCGGTCCTAAACCGAGCGTGCCTTCCCCTCGTGCCTTCGAGGCCGGGAGCAGTTCGGCGTGCACGTGTGCGACCGCCGCGGCACGCGCACGGACTACGCGGAGCGCTGGCCTCACGTGGACGTCTCGTGTGTGACGCACGACGAGGAGACGCTGGAGCGGACGGCGGTGGAGCGCGGCGCGTCGTTGTGGTGCGACCGAAGGCGGATGGGGTAGGGGTAATTGCGGGGAGGAAGAGAGGGAAGGAGCTTGGAAGGAGGGGCTTGCCCTGGGGGCTGCCCTCCATGATATCCAGATATATCCACTAGCACTGGAGGCGCTGGAGGGATGTATTCATGATGCAATATAGGCTTAACACATTGACATGTTGTTCTTTTTTTGGGAACATGGAAAGGAGGAAGCCAAGGCACGAGCTGGCGCCGTTGCGATGTCTACTGTATCGCATTGCGCAGGATACATGGCGCAGGCGTTGCGATGTCTCGCCAGTTGTCAGTGTTTCCACACACAGCGAATTTGCAGCCATTTGATGCCTTTCGCAGATGGAACAAAGGGTCAACTTTGAAGAACCATACATAAAGCAATATGACAGAATCCCCAGTTTCCTTTCCCGTTCCCTGCGATTTTCAGCCAGCGTGGTGGGTGAAAGGGAGGCTGCAGAGTAATTGCACGGGTGCGCGTGGTGGATGCGTTGCGAAAGATGTGTCGTGTGCTGTGGCAAGATGCCTCCAGATTCGATGTTCCTTCTTCCAGAGGGGTCCAACTGGGGGGTCTTCCTATTGTTTTTTGAATCACGACTCAAAGGCGAATGGCCTTTAAGTTCCAGCTTGGGATGAGGAGACCATTGGTCAGCTTGCGCAGCTCTTTGTGCAGGACCCCAGCAGCCTCACCAAGCGGGAAAGCAAGGTGGAACTGGCCAGGAGGCACTTGACATCACCTGGAGCGACGTGGAGAACCTGAGATGGTACGACTAAGTCAATCACGACCATGTGCTGTCCACGTGAGCAAGGTAATTGATTCAGAAGCCTCACACAACTTATTGACTGTCCTGTGTAGAGTTATGTAATATTGGCCCAACGTCCTTGGAGGATCAGTTGGCCGAGCATCACTGTGCCTGGATGTCTTGCCATCTTCCTACAATTATGTTTAACTATTGAATTGAATTGATGCATACTTTGACAAGGTAAGCAGCCAGAAGTGATCAGAAGTGAACACATTGGCACTCACTTCGTTGACTTCCTTGTGGGCCAGACAAGCCACTTTTTCAAACGCGGAGACGTTTTTGATCCTTTTTGCTTCTTCCTGCAGGGGCCATGACTTCCTCCAATGGCTCAGCGGACGCCCTGAGAAGGAGATTGTGGTGGGCACCCATTCGGTGTCTTGGCAGAAAGAAAACCAAGAGAGGTTGAGAGAGACCTCCTTATGGTACCAGAAGTACGGGCACAGATTATTACAGGACATGCGAGAAAATATGGGATGGGCCAATAAGGCTGTTCAACCTCTGCAAGAACGAGGAGCCTTTTGGTTTTTGAGGTTTGGTCAGAGAGAGCTATATGCCTGGATATTTTCCCCTTGGATTAGAGAGCTACCTTTGAGCTCCAGGGAGTTTAGGAACAGCAGATGGGGCACGAAGTAGCTCCGAAGCATGGCGTCCGATCGAAGACATTGGAAAGCCCATGAGTCACGACACGTGAAACGTCGTGAAATCACACAAGCCACCCAACAGGATGCAGGAGATGCAGGATCCAGACACTGTGGCAGTTAGGTGAAGGTCTCAACCCCAGCCCTCGAGCCACTAAGCCCTCTTTTTGATCATGATCTTCGATGGTTTGAGTAAGATGAGGAGCGTATCCATTTTTGAGTGGAAAGTTGTTCCCAACCTCAATCAAATCGATGACTGATGGAGGACCTAGAATTGGCGTCGTACCTGGGCGTTGAGCAATGGAAGAAAGTGAGGCTTTTTTGATGGGTGTCTTCCACATCGCTTTGGAGATCGAGGATGAGTCGATGAAGAACTTCTTTAAGACAGGCAAGGGGCGGGGCTGGCTGTGTTTCGTGAGTTGCCTTAGGCACGCCCCAGCAGGGGCCCGATGTTTGGGGATGTTTGGGGATGTTTTGCCGCAAAACCTATAGTGGTCAACCTTTTTCAGGAAGCTTTTCCTCTTCAATCCTGTTGGGATATGTTTGGAAGATTTTCGGTTTCCTTGCCAGTTGGAAAACATCACATTGAACTTTCGTTCCTGGATTCTCCTGGCCCCAGCCGGCCGTGTGCTGCGCGTGCTGCGCGTGCCGCTGCGCGAGACCTGAGGAGAGCTGCGCTCCGTGCTCCTCGAAGTCCAGGCCCTTCGGGGGGATCGCCCAAACATGAGGCTTCCAGGTAAGATGCATCTAGCAGACTCCAAGCCAGTCCTGGAAGTGGACAACCACTGGATTTCATGTGGCAAGACGTCTAGTCGTTCTTTTTGCGGTTTGGCCATCTCTTTTTTCCCCACCAGTGCAGTACTAATTGAAGTTGACATTACGACTCACTGGGAAAGGAGATGATGAACAGCGCTACGCCGTACGCCTCCCTCGACGCTTCGAAAAACCCTACATTCACGACAAGAGAATACAAGATATAATATATAGTGACGGAAGTGACGGACTGAAACTTCGAGTGACGTTATATATACAGTGATGGACTATACAGTATATATCTACAGTGTAGTATCAGTATAGGTGGATCTCTATCTATTTGTACATTCATTGCCAAGTAGACACGGCCCACGGCCCCTCTGAACGGCCCACGGGGCCCTCGGGCCCTTGGACACCGCCGCCAGGCCGAGCAGAGCGCCTCAGACTGGAAACTGGTGGACCTTCCCCCCCTCCAAGACACACGGAAGTGAAGTAGTTCACCACCTGTTTGGTATGCAGAAAAGGGGAGCTTCACGAAGGCATTTCGCCGGTGTGGTGTTCATTCGCATTGGGGAAAAAGCAACATTTCTTCGGTGCATGTTCGCCCCAGACTAATGATGTAAGCAGTTGAATTATCCAAACCGGTGCTTGTCTTACGGGAATCCTTTGAACAGTCCGTGTTGAATGGGCAAATGAGACACATCAACAACCACCACTGATCCCGGCTGGGCTAAAAAGCCTCCTCCACTGTTATGGATCAACCGCTACTATTTTCCCCCCCAAAAGGGGCAGCCCTGCTAGTCGATCCTCTCCAGACACCTGAGACTGCTCTCAAACCCGACTGACCTTGTGGACCACAGCGGCTCGCGCTTTGAGGTGCGAAGCGGAGAAAGCTCTAAGACTGTGGAGAAAGCATCGGTTGGAGTGGACAAAAACGCTTGGCGAAAGCATCTTCCGAGCATCACTGGGGGTTCAAGTAACATGGTGGTTGGCACTTGTCTGCAGGGGATCATACCATTGAAACTATAGGAGAGTTGCGACACGAGGAGAATAGACCATGAGGGCGACCAGAAGTTCCACTGGGAGGATTCAGATCTTGTTGGAACTTCTTCCATCAACAGCAGTTGCCACGATAGCTGGACCATTAGACATTCCTCAATGAGGTGTTTGGAAGCTCTGGAAGACCGTGGTCAACCTGCATCCCCAGCACCGATGATAGAACCGTCAACCTCGGCTCGTGAGCCCCCAAACGGCTCGACGTCCGGACGAGGGCCATTTTCGGACCTGCCAAGGCCTCCCCCGCTAACCTCCCCTGACTTCGCCCACCGTTTCTCCGACCGAAGTCCGACTTCGGGGTGGCCGAAGTCGAGGATCGCCACACCGGTGGGTTCGCCCCCACGCAGCACCCGTCGTGCCAGTCTGGGGCGGGGGTCCCAGCAAAGCGTGTGGGTGTGTTGGCTGAAGCTTCAGTGTACATGGAACTCCGTGTTACATGGAACATCATGGAACATGGCCATTAGAGTTATAGAGGTTGGGTTTGTCCTAGGACACCTGTATCAGTCAGGAAACACACCACTATTTTTGAACTAGTTTGAACATGTTTGAACAAGGCCTTTGCAAATCATCCACTGTTACTGCTAATAGGATGGACCCAACCCATTAGAGCCATGGAGGGTTTGTTTTGAACCAAGTCCAGCACTGACCCTGCGATCATGCTGCGCGTGTGGCCTCAAACTTGCAGATCGCTCGTAGAGAACCAAGGTATGTGGATTTGTTTTCTTACAGCATCAGATGAACCAATCTCAGGATACTGTAAGAAGGAGAGGGATACTGTAAGAAGTATCTCAGGATACAATATTTGTGGATTTGTTTTCTTGTCTCATACATTCATACTTCTCCCGGGATACTTGATTCATCAGGCTTTTCCTCACCCATACAAACAGATCGAAAGAGAACCCCACGCTCGCTTTTGACACAGCAGAACTAGCGGTAACTAGCAAACGGTCATCGAGGGTCATGAGTTTTTCACAGACTCCTGTGATTGCATACCGGTTGAATATCTGGGTTTTCCATTTTATTTTCCATTTTATAAGGAAGAGATGCCGCAATAGAATGGTGATTATATAATCCTATTAATAATAGGATTATATAATCACCATTCTATTGTGGCATCTTCACGGGGTATGTTTTCTTGTCACAGACGCACAGAAGCCGACCGGTTCTGACCTGTTCTGCTGGCATCGTGCAGCTGGAGAGACACCAGACATGCGGGAAATTGAGAACAAGATGAAAGGAGGGAAGAGATGTTGCCAGTGACTGCCCAGTAAGTCGAAACAAGTTCCAAAGAGATCCTTCATTCCCATCCACTTACTTGCTGGCCAATGACTCTGGATACTGGCGGAACAGTCATTTCATGATTCATGCCATTTGCAACGTGACAGATTCCATTCCTGAAACGGATGCCATCATATGCAATCCTTTTCTGCGCTGCAAAACACAGCCACCACATTCCAAAGACCATCTGCGCTGCGGAGCGAGCTTTCCAGCGACGTGCCTGACGAATTCAGCTTCCAATGGTGACTGCCTGACAGAATCAAAGCACACACAGCTGGGCCGCTGGGCCGCTGGGATGGGTCTTTCTCGACCCGGTCGTGCGTCTTTCGGCCCAGGAGGTGGGGGAGAAAATCTCCGCCAGGAGGGAGATTTCATCGATCTCATGGAGGAGATCGCCATGGAACCTGAACACAGGATTTTTTAAATAGAACGTTATATATATAGTATAATATATATATAACTTATATATATAACTTATATATATATATATGCTCAATATCTTGGAACTGATGCGTGGTGTTTTTTCTGTGTAGATGCTGATTACCTCTCCATATATATATATATATATATCTTTTTTCCATCTTTTTCCCTTTGGTTATATAGGTTCGGGTCATGTCGACTCCTTTCGTAAGAAAAACCACCCCTCATGCCGCATGCCCGGTTCACTTGCTTCGTTCGACGATGTGAAGGCGGCTCTTCTGTTCCTCGGGGGTTGATGGTTGAATGAAACGATAGAATGACAGGGAAGACTGATGGTTGACTGTAGATGGTTGAGAAGTTGAAGAAACGATGGTTGATGGTTGAATGACAGGGAAGATCCCTGTTTGAGAAGAACTTCTTTGTAGAAGACAGGATGGTTTTGGAGTTCTTGAGTCCCAACCCGGATGCTGCCGGGCGATATGTGAGAGATCGACTGCTGCTGGGTTAGTTAGAACACACACACATTATTCCCCACATGCAATTCATTGCAACAGCAGTGAGTCGTTCTTGGTTCCCCGTCATATCCGAGCCCCAAACGGCAAGCCGAGCCAACCGAGCCAGCGGCTGGACACTGGCGCTGTTAAGGTAACCTGGTGCTCTGGTGTTCATGCCCAAAGATGGCAGGCCAGGAGTGTTTCATCCTCCACTGGAGTGACTGCGGCGTTCCAGGGCTTACCGTCCCTGGGCTGGCCTTTTTGTGATGGGCATCAATATGGATAATGCTCAAGCTGTTTGTACATAATTGTTCTAACTATATGGATGAGCTTTCTTTGCCTCCGTACTTCAGCATGATTGCGGCTTAGTGGGGCAAGTTCAGATTAGAGTTTGCAATCAGAGCTCGGAGCTTTGCAACTCGTGGGGGAAGAGCTTCATCCGAGATCCACCCCGCCGTTCGACGACAACAAGATGGTTTGATGGATGAAATGATGAAACCAAGTTGCTAGAGGAACGTAACTTAACACGGGGAAGATTCTAAGACTCAGAAACAGCTGGGGGTGAACAGCTGAACCTTCTGCTGCCGCAGTCAGGAGCTGGGGGAGGTCTTCCATCAGCACCATAGCCCCAAGATGCCTCCGAACATGGTTCTTTTCTTCACTGCAAACATGAGCGTGCACCCTCGTGTGTATATACCCTTTCGACATCCCTACCCCCTTAAGCTACTGCCGGCCGGGGGGACCTTAAAACAGTAAGTTACATTTTAGGGTACCCCCCTGGGGTCAAAAAATATAAGTTACCCTCCCCTAGGCACAATCGAAACGGGTAAAGGGGGGGGAGCAAAAAAATGTAACTTGCTGCCTGGGACGTGCTTACTTACATTTTGCAACCCCCCCATAGTGAAAGAGTGACTAGGGCGTACACGGTTGAGGTGCAGACCGCTAGTGTCTTTTATGCGCAGAGTCTTATCCTCTTGTCTTCTTGAGCCTTATGGCAGTCAAGTATGGACACACTAGATAGGCCACTGGAGTGGAACCTGTACAAGTAGGCCTCTACATTTCAGCAGGCACAAAATTCATGTCCACTCCTGCCTATTGCGTATGTCGCACACTATTTTTCTACCGCAAGGCTAAAACAGTCCAGCAAGCTCTAGTAAGCTTAAAAGGAAACCACGGTGCCCTGTACTTACCAATTCCAGTGTTTTTCCCACTTTAGAAAAGGTAATCTCTAGGTATACTAAATACAGTGAGGGAGCTATAGCTTACTCGCCTCAAAAACAAAGTCAAAGACAATGTATCTCGGCTGGAGACTGTATCGTTCACCGGCGAAGATACCATGTACCGGCGCTCAAAAGCCCTTAAATAGCCAGAGCTTCAAAGAAACTATAAATTCAAAGGAAAGCGGCTTTCTTACACAGAGACCTGTAAAAGCAGTAAACGACACTCGCGCAACGAAGAACTAAAATTTCAAGACCGCACAAACTGCAATGAATTAAGATGCCTTGCAAAATGCAAGGAGCGTCAACTTTCGGTCCGAGGAATGGTCTTCTCGAAAAGTGGTCTCGGCCGCTTCCATACACAGGACTTAAATCAAAATGGAGCTGCATCAAAAGGACTCTTTCTCATTGACATCAAAAACAAAAAGGAAGGAGACACCGGCAAATGTATGTACAAAACTTGCACTACAAATGCAAACTTATGAAATGACTTAATCATCAACCATAAATGGTTGTCCATTAGAGGTCATTTCATCAGAGCGGCTATGGTAGTTATCATCAGCTATGAAAAACTGTCCATACCTACCTGCAGATAATAACCGTTTAAGAAACTGTATTTATCTGCATGCTAAAGCTTATAAACCTAGAATGCAGGAGTATCTTCTTTTACAAAAAGTTTCTCCTTGTTGCAAACCATGATTCATTAAAACTTCAGCCTGGCAACTTAAAGTCAAGCCTGGAAGCAAAGTATCAACTGTGATCAGAAGTATCTTCACTTCCTAGCTATCATTAAAAGTTAGCCTCCGCTCTGAGTTTTATGCCGCTGCAGTCGATGGAGCTGCTTGATCAGAAGTTGGCGGCCTTCCTTTCCTTTTATTCTCCTTCTGTCTCTCCTTCCTCCGCAAGTTAGCATCTCGAAGAGTCTCGCCCGAGCGATAAAGTCTTCTGTCTCCAGATGAAAAGGAAGCTGGTCTGAGTGAAATCAACATTGGACCATGACTGTCATCGTCAGAGGGTTTGGAGCGCATAACCTCCGTGTCGATCAAAGCAAAGTTCTCTGAAAAATTACAGACGAACTCCTTCGTGCTCACTGTGGAATTTGAATATTCCTCTCCAATGACCCCATTCAACAATGGTAGACAAACATGTATCGCCAAGCTTTGATCCCTGGTACACTTCTCTCTCTTCTGTAGAGTATTCTTCCCAGAGTTTCTCAAAGTAATCTTCACACTGCTTGAGGACATGTGAAGATGAACTGTAAAATGTTCTGGGAATAGGTGCTTTGATACCAGGATCTGCTTTTACACGGGCTTCTGAAAACCTGCGGATCCAATGCTGCATGGTGCTGTAATAATAGTTAGCCATTGGTTGCCTTTTGTACCCAGACATTCTGTAGGCCAAACTATTTGCATCACCAGAAATGATGTCCACCTCATATACAAAACATTCATAAAGCATCAATGCTGTCTGTTCTCCTGTCAGTAGGTGGGCATCCACAGCACGATGTGTATCAACATGATAATTACAGACTCTGATGGTATGCATGTTCGCTCGAGTAAGTGGAACACGCTCTTCCTTAGGACCATAGTCCTCAAATTCATAGTCTGCATCCTTGAAGTCCTGACGAGGCCTTGTTTCTCCAAAACAAATCTCATAGATAGCCCAAGTTACATCACGCTGTTGACAGTGACCAAGGTCTTGGTCATGTCCAGCAATGATCTTGATATAGCCATCTGGTGCCAATCTAGCCATCACTGCAAGATTCTGAAACAAACTGTCCAATTCTTTTGCTCAATAAATTCCTTGGCAGGAACAAGAAGTTGAGCTTCCTGGAGAATCACGACATGTGCACGTAAAAAGAAGAGCATGTTGAAGAAAAGGTTGTTTTCAAATTGCTCATATTGAAGTGACATGGCACTCTGCTTGCGTGGCTTCATTGCACGATCAAGTCCTTGGAGAAACTTTGGTGTGGTGTATTTCTGACCACGAACCATGTTGCCATAGTTCCAGGATAAAAATGTCAAGGACTCTGAGCTGGCCAATAAATTAGTTCCATATTGTTCTTCTATTCTTCCTTTGAGGAACCTTTGGCACAGCTCTTCATAGAAGGCGACAAAGTCCCAACTGGGTCCCTTGGGACCATATGATTCCAGTTCTCTTCTAAACTGTTCCTTTGTAACCTCCAAATCTTCTCGAGCTTGTTCTGCCCTTTCAAGGGCCCTTGGATCGACCTGATACTTGTCATCCAAATAAACGATGCGATCATCATTGATGAAAAATCTCTTCAGGTCATGCTCGCGGCTGTCCTCATAACAATCAGGTGGAGGTACTGGACAGACCTTTCGAATGGATCGAACAAAGTCGTTCTCGTTGATCCATACCTGATAATGAGGATGGGAAAGCTCACCTTTTCTGAAACAAACATGGTTCAACAATCTCGCGTGAGTTTCCCTGAAGCATTGTTGATAAAAGCCAATACCTGGATCTTTTGTAATCTCTCCAAGCAACCTCAAAGGTGAGGTATGCAACTCATAGGTATTGTTAGCATCCACTTGATCCTTATCAGCAACTACTTCAGATGGAAAAGATTCTTGGATTTCAGCCTCCAATTTCTTCTCTCCATCATCCTCTCTGACCTCTCTTATCTTCTCCACCGCCTTCTTCTTCTCCTCCATAGTTGCATCATCCTGAACTTCTTCATGAAAATGAGGATCAGGAATTTTATTCAGGCGGCTTCTCTTTGATTTCGGCAGACTTGGAGTATCATCAAGGTTAGCATCCATCTCACCTGATGGTAAGTGCGATGCAGCTGAGTCCTCACCTATCTCTCTTGACAGAAAGTGTGGTGCTGACTCATCCTTGGCTTCCTCCTGGTCCACTTCCATCTTTAGTTCCTCTGAAGGAAAAGCACCTGCATTCTCATCAAAAACTTCTTCATCTTCCTCTCGATTTCCATTGCAGGATCTTCTTCAGGGACTTCCTCTTCCATATCTTCATCTTCCACAAGCACCATACTACCAGTATAGATTCCACCAGCAATAGTGGAGACTCTTGTGTATGGAGGAACTTCTTCACCTGCCTCAAAAGCTTGTTCTGCAACATCCTTGGTGAGCAAGTCTTCTATAAAATCTTCCTCCTTGGTTCTTGGAAGAGAATCTGAGGTCTCATAAAAATCTGTCCTTCCTGAACTGAAAAACTCAGTTGCCTTCTCATTGTCCTTTTTATCCTTGTACAGATGAGTAATCTTCACTGCTTCTCCCCGCAACACCTGATCACCTTCTCTATACTTGTTGACAATGGAGCTCCATACTGGCACGTTGTCATCATCAAAATCAAGCTCCATATCATCTGCCAGCAAGTTTGAGATGTTTTGAGCTGCCTGTTCTTCTTCTTCCTCACGTTCTCTGGCACGCTCCTCATTCTTCTGGATCTTGTAGACACCCTTCAGGATGTCTTGTAGTACCTTTAAGTTCAGCTTCGATGATGGCTCATACGTCCCTGAACTTACAGGCTCAACTACAACACGAGAGCAAGAAATCGCCTCCAAAAACTTGGAATTGTATTGGCGTTCAAACTCTTCCTTCTTGATCATCTCATACAAGGGATCAGAAACTGCAACGCGCGCCTGAACATATTCACGAAGTTGATAGCATGCATGTTGCACAAATCTGCTGTTGGAGTTATGAAGAAAACTCTCTAAATGATTCCTGTCACGGTCAATCAAATACCACACAACTCTTGCAGAAAAACGGAATTTCTTGAAGTTCATAGCAAAATGCTTATGATACTTCTCTGGATCCTCTTCTGCATATAAGGCATCCTCTGAAGTCTTGTAAACAGGGAGATTTGTGTCTGGATCCAAAATCATAAACTCTTCCCACAAGATCGAATGGTTAAGAACCCACTTGGGAAGCACCTTGATGAAAAAGTCACAAACAAGTTCAGACAAAAGGTGCATGACACGACCAATCTC